ATAAAAGAATGAAAAATAATTGGAAAATAAGGGACCAATTAATCGCATGCCGTGCCAGAGCGTGCTTAATCTATAAAGGCATGACTAAATTCATATTTGTATAAATCCTCACATGTAACAAAAGTTAAGGCGGCATACTGCATCAAGTAACAAAAAAACCTCTGGGGGGTATGCTTGTTGATCTTTGCAGAAAGAGGAGCGTGGGCGCTGCTCTCCTCCCTCCTTTGACCCCGACTGGCCAGAGATCATCATGTATTTAACTGCAGGGGGGGGAACCAAAAACCAGCAGTTATGTGAGTCACGATCATCCTTGCTACGCAGTCTCACGATTTATAAGCAGAACCAGATGTACTGCCCATTTTCGACTCGTTACTCCTGTTTTAACAATACACAAAGTATGTGCCTAATTACTCATGTTTTAAGTTTGTCATATTGGGATATCATTGACTCCTTTTAAGAAGTCATTTATACTTCAGGAAACTAATATTTTTAGCTAAAAGTAGCATGCTTTTCACATGTAATTGCACTAAAACATCTGCTTAAAGATTACTGCAATTCATGGATATAAAAGGAAGAAGACTACGACAGTATAACAAAGAGTGGAATAACCTCTAAGATGGTGAGTAAAATTAAGATCAACAGGTAGGCGAGGGAGGGAGGCTTCAGCTTCAGTTGAGGGTTGGTGGTGTGACAGCAGTTGCTACTTACGGGCAGGTTAATGCAAAGTTGTTTAAGGAACTCGGGATTACACAGGTAAGTAATGTGGCTGTTAGGTCAACAAATCCCTTTTGACAAGGAAGAAAAAGAGATGACAGAAAGGCACAGTGAGAGGGACATTGATGGGTCATGTTGAGAAACCTGGCCCAAAGTTAGGAAGGTGGTAAGGCTTAAACAATTTACGTTAAGAAAAAGCTGATCGAACTCTATGAAAACACGGGTAGTAAATACACAAGCGCAGCTTCAGTGAAGGAAGTAACTCAGATTCTTCCGAGACACTGAGTACTTCCCCCCATGCATTTTACCGATTACTCTTTTATATAAAAGAGCATTTAAAAGTATATCCATGGACATAATTGTTGCTTTATAGCAGCATTGCCCGATTTCAGCTTAGAAATTCTGCTGCTGCTTCCACAACCCCTGGTCACAACTAGCCTAAATATCCCATGTGTACTCCGTTGTAACACAGCAGTGCTCTTAGATTCAGCACATTCCTTACCGAACTCAACCAGGCCGTTTACACAATTTGCACCCGCTGAACAAGGCACACCAATGCAGATCCTCACTGTCTAGGTTCTAATACATAAACGCTATTCAATATAAATAACTAGTGAGCTTTGCAGTGTTCTCTATTTTTGTAAGCAACAAGGAAGTCTGTTCTTTCTAGGTAAAACTAGCGTCATTTTCCAGGAACAGAAACGCTCCTTGAAGCCAGGTGATTTAACAGGAATCAGACAAGTTTCCGACTGCCTCTCTCCCCCCCGCCCCGATGTCAGACAACTCCAGATATGCTTGATTTCTCCTTCTACCGGGGGGGGGGAAGCACCCGTGCAGCTTTGGCATTGACCACTACTCAGCAAGTAAGAGGTGACAGCAAGTAAGCATATAAGCAGCAAAACTGATGTGCAGAGTTGTGAAATAATCTTGTCATTGCTTCATTCCTCAGTATTCTACTGAATTCAAAACATTCAGTTTATTTTGGAATAGTATTTGACCTTTGGAAATACCACCTTCTAAAAATTTCCATTATTGAGTAACTTCGATTTCGGCATATCATTTCTCAATTTATGGTGACTTATAAACAAAGAAATTAGAACCAGAGGCATAGCTTTTCTGGAATAATAATAGATTTAATAAAATTGCTGTTAACTACGCAATTCTTCAGTTCCAATTAATCTAATTAAGAACTGAAATACCAGACTAAGAGAGCTCCAATTTACCATTAGGCTTGGTAAAAGTTGTTTCCGTATCTGTTTCAGAAGACAGCTTTTTTTTTTTTTTTTCATCCTGAACTTCATTATACTACCAAGATTCAGTTCCCTGTTTAATGTTTGGGTTATCTGTATCATCATTTCTGCTAAGAGCCCCCGCTCATTGCTCAGGCTGTAGTGCCCATTCACAGGGCAGGCAGAACAAGAACGCTGACCCTGCCACAAAGAATCGTGGCAGACAGACAGTGGAGGACAAGGAAACAAACCGCTGTCGTTCGCGCTTTGTAAGGTAAAGGGCTTTTTAGAGTCCTGTGAAGAACCGTGGGGCTGCTGTGCAGATTTTTATGAAGAAGTTTGCTCAAGCTTAGGGGAAAGCAAGGAAAGAATGCATGCACCCAGCTGAAAAGTGGTGCAAGTGCTGTAATTGGTGTTGGAGCTGGCATCTTACCGAGGAAGTTACTGACAGAAAATAGTTACAGGTTCCAGAGGGCCCTCAAAACCAGAAACAAGTAACTTGGGCTTTACCCAGCAGAGAAGGGGGAGTCAGAGAAAGGATGCAGAGTTTTAACTATTTTTAACCACTATAAAATAATCTGTGTAAAAACCATCAAAGCCATGCTGCAATTAACTTCTTTCAGTATGCAAAAGACAGCTACAGAGCCATCTGACGGTTCCTGGGTGAAGGCCTGTAAGAACTACTAACAGCATTAGATACTCAACACCACGAAGGGGATACAATTAAGGCAGCACGCATCTCCAACCTCTCCAATTCAAGACCCAAGATCATCACAAATTGTGGTGAAAGCGTGCACGCACACACACAGAATTTTTCCCCACTTGAAGAGTAATATAAGACCACTGCATGCTGTATTACTCTAGCACAGATGGAAGCCGCTGGTACGGAGCTCATCAGCTGTCTTACTAAGAGCCAGTTAACTTCCATGCTTACTATCAAGTTTCTGTGCTAGAGGAGTACACACAGCACAGTAAGGCAAACTATTAAAACTTAAAACAATAAAAAAGTAGTGTTATTTAATTCTTGTTCTATACAACCTCCATCTTCCTTCCCAAAACACATGTAAAAATAAGGAGATAAGGAGACGAGATTTTTTTGAAAGTTCGCAATGGACAGTTTCAGAAACAAACTTCACTTCACCTGGGATCTGTGAAGCAGTGCAAAAGCAAGCACAACAGTTTGATTTGAAACCAGTTCTCCGTAACAAAGAGTGAATACAGATAACGTAAGCTACATTAAAATAGTTACAGTTCACATTACATGACTGGCCCATGTCATGACTTGTAAAATAACAGTAATAAGGAACAGCACAAAGGCTTTTTCTTAATAAATTTTAATGTTAAGACCAGTTTGTCTGGATAAAAACACAAAGTTACAAGAACCACACTACTGTAGATTCTGCATGATGCACAGCAGTGCTCGCAATATTTGAGTGGCAAGACCATTTTAGAACTGTTTACGAAAGATACGTCGAAGACAGAATCTTGGCGTGAGAACGTATGTTACCAGTGAATTTAATCTTGTGAAAAGATATCTGTCCCACAATGCATACCACTGTAAATAGTCAAATGCAATATTTATGCACATCAAAAATATATGGGGCGAACACTCAACTTAGCATTTAGTCAGCAACAGTGAAGGAGAGAAGTATTTTGGTTATTTTTCTATAATTTCATTTCACTGGAAATTTCCTAATAAATCACTCCAAAGGGTAATTATTTGTGGTTCAAAACCATCAGGACAACAGTAATTCTGTAAAATAGTAGTTTCTGACCATCCGATAGTGATGGCCCAATCCTCCTGCCACTAGATTCAGATGCATTTGGCTTCTGCTCACTGCCTTAGAACATGAGTCCAGACACCAAAAAATGCACTACCACCCGTAGTGGTCACAGCCTGGACCACATTAGCTCAAAACACGCCAGATCAGAGATGCAACATCAATAAAAGGAGATGACACTCTCAAAGCACCTGCCAGATTCTCAAGTATTAATTATATACACATATGGTTAAGTACAGAATACTGAAGGACAGTGTACCGAGCAGCAAGTTCAATGTTCCATCAATTTTCTGATTACCTCAAGGGCTACTCAGATTTCCCCCATTTAACCTAGGAAAGATACTGCAATCTAAGCATGTGATTTGATGCTACTTAAAGCTTTGTGATACTGTTATGTATTTTCTTTAAAATATCTACATACCCCCCCCCCCCCCCCAACATTCCTGCACAGAAAACCTATCTA